ACCCTAATTAAATAAAATAAATAAAATTGGCAGGATAAAACACTTGAATATTCCTCCTCGAAACTGAAGCCAAACCAAAGGGTAGACTTGGAAGCCACCATGGATCTCCTCTGGATTTGTGGCATCCCCTAGTTCTTTTTCCTTTGGATCCTTTAATAAATGTCCCAAGTTTGAGCCATTCCTTTTTGCACACCTCTTTGTCTAATTTCGTTGAAAAGTCCTATCCGTTTGAAGTCCTTGAAGATAATTTTTCTTGATTTTTATCGATAGTATTCTTAAGTGATTTCGGTCATTTAAGATGTTATTAACTATAGGGGCTTGCCCTTATAGGGAGCTTTTTCGAACCCAGCTTAAAATAAACCCTATTTAATTTTACATATTAAATAGAGGAATTTGTCGGCAAATAAAACGGTTTCGCAGACCAAACAGACGTCATATATAAATTAGTTTATCTGATCGAGCTTTATCCTCAAGTCTTGTGTTTATCCCTCGGGATAGCTACAAGATTTGAGGTAAAACGCTCTTTCATTTAAACTATGAAAAATATGGGGTCAGTTTGATTTTCATATTTGATTTTAAACTTAAATCTATATGTAAATGAAAACGTCCTTCTGAAGCGGGCGACGAGATTTCGATTCCGGTGACCGATAATTTGTCACGGGCGACTCCTCCCCCAATCCACCCATCCACCCTTTTCCCCGCCGACAGTAGATTATTTCCCATAGAGAATTTAACGAGGTCTTTTGTCAACTGTGATCTTATTTACTTTCTTCAATTATGACAAACAATAATATGATTAGAAATGCTTCTGAGCAGTGAGGTTCAATCTATCCACTATGTATGCAATGCCTCATTTTCAGCTCTGCCTCCATCTATAATGAGACTACACATTATTCCCTTTATGGTGCAACGGGTATTAAATATAATGTGGTGGAGCTACTGTTGCTCTTTCGTGAGCTTAGTCTGAAAGTCCCATCTGATTTGATTATCTCTCCCTCATTTGTTCGCAATTGATATTTCTGTCTATTCTCCTCCCTTGATGATCATCTCAAAATTTTTCAACATAAAGATGCACTCTTCTTTAACTTGACGACTAACTTTACCATTTTGTTGTGTGGGACATCCTTGTGTTTAAAGATACATTTTACTGTCCGGAGCCACTCGATAAATTCATTTGGATCATTGCTACCATCAAAATTCACCAAGTCAATCTTTATTCCAACGTCCTGGACTCTCTTTTAATATTTTATGCCAAATCATCAAAGTATTGATTCTTCATCATTGGAAATTGCTTAGTGGAAGAGTTTCACTTCCTCTTTGTCTGATGAGTTACCATTTTGGCTCTAGGTGACCTCATTGAGTTGTCTCTTCACAATGACAACGAGCCTTTGTTGCAGTTTAACGATTTCTCATTGTATATCCTTCATAGTAAGCTCATAGACATATCTTTGCCAATTTCTCTTATTTTCTTTCGATCAATATTTCAACTGTCGGTCGAATTTTAGGGTTTTGGAGGTAGGTGTTAGGTTAAATTTTGGTGGAGGAATGAAAGTGGGATTTTGAAAATTTTAAGTTTGGGACTAGGAATTGCTCTAGAAATAGTTTGAGTATTGAGTATTAGTGAAAGATGCAAGTTATGTGGATTTTTATTTTGGCATAAGAACAACAAACTAAAAAAATATTTGGGTTTGTCGGATTCTAATACCAGATGATACCATCGTAGGACTTTTAAAAGGTGTGTTAGGACACCAAAAGGCGTTAGGAAAGTTTTAGGATGTGTAACGAGAGTAAGAGGATGGATGACAACTGAAAATTAGCGTGAACGGGGGGTGGACAGTGAACCAAAACTAGGAAGATGGCAAATTTTTTGTTGTAAATAGCAAATGGTGGCAAGTGTGACGACTGCCTAGCGAAAGAATGAGTGTAAACCTGTTGATACACCTATGGATCCTAACAAAAAAATGAGCAAAATTTAAGAAAGTAGTTTAGTTGACAAAGGAAGATATTAAAGACTTCTGAGCAAGCTAACATATTTGGTACACATACGACTGGTATTGTGTACTCGATCAATGTAGTAAGTCAACACGTGAATAATTCAAACGAGGATCAGTTGAAAGCAGTGAACAAAATTTTGAGATATCTAAAGTTGACTTATGTATATTGTTTGTTCTTCAAAAGATTTGAAAATCATGTGATTGAGATATACACATGCCAGTTGAGCAGGGGATGTATCTATGGGAAATTTATCACTAGATACTATTCATGTGTAATGACCAATCTCGTCACTTCGGTACGTACAAAGCAAGCTGTTGTTTATCGGAGCAATGCAAAATCTGAATATCGCACTCTTTCACTAGGAATATGTGAAAGAGTATGGCTTCAAAGACTATTAAGAGAACTTAGGATTGAGATAAAGGATAAAATTAAGATATTCAACAACAGTCAGATAGCTGTTAGTATAGCCAAAAGCCTTGTGAACCATGACAGGAGAAAAAGCATTGAGATTGACCAATGCTTCAACTCAAAGAAAGTTAACAATGAAATTATTTAGTCAGGTTATGTTCCAACAAGTTATTAGATTGTGAATATTCTTTCCAAAGCATTGCCAAGGGCCAGTCATGATGATATGAATTTCAAAATTGATTTGTATTATGTATACAACCCATCTTGATTGGGAGTATAAAAAGTAGCTGATTACGAAAGGACTTAGGGTCTGTTTGGCGCAGCTGCAGGTTATTGAATAATCTGCTGATAAGTTAGGTGCGGTGGCTATTATAAATTTTTATTTTTTTAGAAAAGCCAGACCATTGCCAATAAGCTCCCACCGCACCTAGATAGGTGCGGTGTGAAAACGCTGTTTTCTGAGTTTTGAAAACGCATAAGATGCCAAAACGCAGTTTACTTAAACAGGCCAGGTGCTTTTTCAAAACGACACCGCACCAAATAAGCTGCCCCAAACGGGCTCTTATTTCCACCACTATAAATTTATTTTTTTTCCTTCGTTACATATTTCCTATTTTGTGGGATTCCTTATTTTAAGGGATTCTGGTTTCTTATTTTGTGGGCTGGTATGTCAACCATAGTATTATATATAGTAGGGTGTAACTTATTATTGAGTGCAATACTAAATCTTCTCAAATCTCGTTAGTTGATCCTGGCATAGAGATTGTTGGCCAGTGATCATGAGAGATCAATTTAGTCATGTGTATGCGTGCACATTTCTATGTGTGTGTGCATATGCATGCAGTCACAGCCAACGATGATGCCAATTTGGCTTGTCATATGTTCTGGCTTAAGTTTGGTAACCATTGTTGGTGTTCCCAGACTGGTTGAAATGCAAGCATTCCGGGGTATTGGCTTTTAGGTTTCAGGTGGCAGAGGGAGTCGCCAAATGTGACATTATCAGTAATGAGACAAATTGAGGGTTTTCTCCACTATCACGAGCAATGTGTTCCATTACTAACCATTGACTACTGACACAAGTAAATTTCTTCAATTGACAATTATAAACTGAGAATATGGTACAACCACATTGATTTTTTTTTTTTTTGTGGTTTGATTTATGAGTTAATAAATTTGGACCCTCTTTTAATTCCTTGAATTTATTTTACATTTAGATTTAAGACACAATTTGAGGAAACTTTGTTTCTGTTTTATTTTAACTTTTTATGTTGTAGCAATATAATTCAAATCGTATTCAACTATGAACGAGATTGAATTCATTTCTGTTTCAATTGTATGCTTAGAAGTTGCAAGTTTTTCCTGCATTATCTGACAGTTACACTGTTTTGTGTTAGGGATTTGCGTACATGCATAGTTACGCTTGCTGGAATGTTTGGCATGTACCTGAATGTCCTGGTAAGTTTCCATTTCTGTGTTAAATGGAAATGCTCAATCCATTTTTCATTTCTTTACTGTTACTCTGTATGCATTTATTCAAATTCTGTGTATTTCTTTACCAGTAACTTAAAAGAATAACTTTTCTGTATAATTGCTTTGAAAATGAGCTATAGATACACATTTCTACATGTTCGATCAGGTTTTGTCTTTATTCATTTGGCTTTTGCAAGTGTAGGCTCTTTGGCTATTGTTCCTTCTATTTTCCAGCTGGCTTGCTTATCTCACTTTTGAAGACACTCAACAAGGAAAGATTATGTTTAGTTCATTTGGAACTACACTTTATCAGATGTTTGTGCTTTTCACGACATCTAACAATCCAGATGTGTGGATTCCTGCATACAAGTAAGAGTTCATGCTTGGTGTAATGTTTTCAATCATGTTTTCTCTAGATAAAACGCCTAATTTTCATATTGTAGTCTATCAGTGTGGCTAAATCTTGAAGTTAGTAGTATGAAAAAGTGAATCAGCTGTATGATGCTCGTTGTACAACAAGTATTTTTGCATTTCCATATGATCTTCTACATTTTGTTTCTGTTCTTTTTACTTTTAACACTAAGAAACATGCGTCTTAAATTTTTTTTTTTTTTTTTTTAAATAAGAATCTATCATGGAACTTTTTTGGTGTATAATTTTCTTGTGAATAAACTTTAGGTTGTGCATCGATCTTTAATCTAAACTTGTATGAAATGTTAAAGCGTTCATGTTTTCTTTTCTTGGTATTCTTGCACTTGTATTTCTAATGTTTCTTTTTTGTTCCGACATTTTTTACTTCTCAAGAATCTCATTGTTATAATCATAAGCTTTGTCAATGTTCTATTTTTTTCCGGTTCACAGTCTGATATATAAATCCCTGAAACAGGACTTCTCGTTGGTCTTGCATATTTTTCGTTCTTTATGCTCTTTTGGGGGTATACTTTATCACAAATCTTATTCTTGCCGTTGTGTATGATAGCTTTAAGGCTCAGGTAAGGATTTTCTTCACTATGTCTTTTGGATGCGTATGTTGTTATATATATATAATTTTTTTTTTTTGGCCATTCATTAGTTCACATGACAAACAAATTAATTTAAACTGGTGAGAAGTTTCTTCTCTGTTTGTCTAGCTGTGCACCTGACTTTCTCCCTTGCCTTCTCTGCCGCCAGCTTGCCAAACAAGTTGTTGAGATGGACAACATGAGGATCAGCATATTAGGGAAGGCTTTTGCTCTTGTTGATAATTTTGTAAGTTTGTTCGCGTGTTATTTTTTGCATATATTTTCATGATTGATAAGGATTTTTATGTTAACAAAAAATTTGTATCTTCTTACAAAAGGCATGTTCTAACTAGGGTGCTCTGATCGGTGCTATTTTTTTTTTTTTTTGGGTTGCAAGGATTTTCATGTTAACAAAAATTTTGTATCTTCTTACAAGAGGCATGTTCTAACTAGGTTGCTCTAAACATTGTTACTTTTTTTATTTGGGGTTGTGGTGATGGGGCTTGAGGTTTTCACTTTTTGTTTGACGAGAATTCAAATATGAGCCCATTATCACATTTTAAGAAATCTTATTATTCATTCCTTGTGTGTTATTTGCTTGGAGTTATGATTATATTTCATTTAGGGTACCCTTTTTTGATTCAAGGCTCGATAAACCACACAGAAACACCAACTCTCATTCGTCTTCTTTACTAGTAAGACTAGGTTGGAGAAGGAGATCACACAAAGCTGTATGATATCTCGTCCTTCATCGTTACTTCTAAATTGCCCTCCCGGAAGGCCGCCGTCGCTAAGGAAACCAATGCAATTGGATGCATCCCTCTGTCAGTGTCCCACCCATTATGGTTCCTGTTCCAGGCTGTAATTCTTCAAAATAATCTTTTTCAACAATGAATTACATGCCATCCCGTTTTGTTGGTTTTCACTCATTACTAACCTTCAGATGAGTCCTATTGATCTGGCCACGAAATCTCCAGTCAACCCTTGGTTAGGGTTTCAAAATTGAACCGTTGGCAAAGTCTTAGATCACATCTTAATAAACTTTCTTATAATCTTCTCAAAGCTCCTGAATCTGTTTTTCATGGAAGAAAACATATCGTCTATGGATGAAAACTTCCTTTTATGGCAGAAAACCTTTCCTTTATCCCTAATTTAAGTTGACTAATCTCTTCCTCCAATTTCTTCTCTAAATCATCTACTTTTTTCGCTGCGTATCTCTCAATACATTTTTTTTTTATCACAATGGCAAAACCTTTTATTCTGAAATCTAGTAGTCCCTTCTTAGCTAGCTCGAATCACAATTGCTTCTTGAGGTCACGAAGGTTTTTGTAGCGCCTTGATCCCTTCTTCATAGCTAGCCCAAATGAAGCCAAATCACAGCTATATCACGATATTCTCATCATTGTACACAATGATCCCATTGTTTGCTTCTCAGATAGATCAAAGTCACGCGGTTCTATCCTTGGACACACCCGTATTCCTGACCAGCTCTAATTTGTGTTAGGGCATACTTGATTTGATGTAGATTCACACCCAAATTGAGGGTCCTGTCTTCTCAACTAGCACTAATACAATTGCTTCGCGAGGACGGAATTAGAGGAGATTGATGGGACTTTTTGGTATTTGTTCGTTGATCCCAACTACAACATCTTAGGTATGCTGATCCATTGCTTCTTGTACAAACGTCGGTCTTGTCATTGGCTTCCTAGCTAGGAAAAAAAATTCATGAATGTATTACGAGATCCCGATCCATCGTCCAACGAGCAAATCAAGATGGATCGTTACTGCAAGCCGCGATCCAACGTGGCCTTCTCCTATCACTCTTACCCATGATCTTGACGTCATTTTTATAGGCTCGATCACGATTGTAGCGTCACTGCTGTAGCGGGAATTCATGAAGGTCTCCTTTTGCCAAGATCACGCCGTTGCTTTCCTAAGATCGATGATTGTATCACGGAATTCGATCATGAGGTTTGTAGGCCTCGACTCATATCACCTGCTAACCGATATGTCATGATCTGGATGTTGTTTTCCCAAAATTGAACGCTCGGACACCATTTGATACGATTTTTGATAGAAATTAGTGCAAATAAAATATTTATTGTAAAAATTCTTAACATATTCAAATACATAAAAGATAAACACCTACAATTTGAGAGGTAGACGATCTCTCCCAAATCCTATATATTGAATGGATACCATTTGATACGATTCTTGATAGAAATTAGGGCAAATAAAATATTTTATTGCAAAAATTTCAAACAACATATTCAAATACATAAAAGATTAGCACCTAAAATTTGAGAGGTAGTCAATTTCTCCCAAATCCTATATATTAAAAGGTAGGAGATCTCTCTCAATTCCAAACCATAGGACTCAAAACCACAATCTCATGCATACCCCTAACTCTAAACATATTAGCCCTATTTATACTAAAAGAAATTGACAAATAGCTAAATTTCCCTTAGACTAATGACAACATTGCTCTTAGGCTAGGCACCGGCGTAACAACCAGATTTTGGTCTTACTATTATATTTATGGACCTGTCTTAATTGCCATTTATTCTTTGATCTCGTAGAGTGATGTGGCGTAGATCAAAATAATTGGATCAATCTATGCCTTAAATTGGATTCCTGGATCAGGATGACTTTGTGAATGAAAATTCAAAATAGAAGGGCGAGCATGGGGTATGATGTTGGCTGGATGTGTGAAACATGTATATCAGTGTCCCATCTGTTTCATTGTTGTTTCATGTTACAATTTTTACACTCATAAAGCTGAGAACCTGATGTTATTTTTTTTCCCTCCTACGATGTGTTCGGTTGGTTTCAAGGCTTAGTAGGGGCAAATTAGCAATTTCCTTAAAATGGAAGCTGGGGAAATTTTTAGCTTTTTTGTTAAAATCTTTCTTGTATGCAAGAGTGGTAATTGTCTTCTTTTTGAAAGCTTGGAGGATTAGTAATCAATTACCATAATTTACACGAGTGAAGAGACTCGTTTTTGAGCCTTTGGCTAATTGACTTGTATAAATGTGCTATGCTTTCTCTCTAGCTTATTGCAAGTCAACATCCAAAAGTAGCATTACTCTTATATATCCACAATGAAACCTCTTGACCATAAAATAGACGATTGTGATGATTTTCTGAAGTACATCAGCCTATAATTGATTCATAAGTGCAATTAATTTAAAATCTAACATTCTCTCTGATCCAAGTGGTTTGTAGTGTAACATGAAATCTTCCTTTCTTCTTACTCAATTAAAAGCGTATGAGACATATTTCTATACACTTTAATCTCTATAGATCAAGAATATTTTTAATGTAGAAAAGACCATGTAATTGGATCTTCTCTAATTATATCACTTAATATCAAGCTTTATAATATACAAGGCTCCTAATATACAACCATTAGATATAATATTCCCAGTTTGTTGGATATATAAGTGACCCTAGCTCTTCTAAGAGCCTTTGTGAAGATGTCCTCTAGTTGTTTTACCATCTTTATATGAGTAGTAAAAATCAAAATTTGTTGAATTTTTTCACAAACAAAATAACAAATTATCTCAATATGATTAGCCCGTTTATGGAAGACAGGAATTGAAGCAATATGAATTGCAACTTGGTTTCACACGAGAACATTGCTGGATCCATCTTCTTAAAAGCCACTTCGGTAAAAAATTGGGAGACGCACATCATTAAACTCGAAGCTTGTGTCATTGCTTGATACTCGGAGTTTGCACTGGATCATGACTAGACATTTTATTTCTTAGTGTTCCTTCAGACCCAATTATCACCAACAAAAACACAATATCCACTAATGTATCTTCGATCAGTTTTGGAACTTGCTCAATATGTATCAAAGAAACATTCAATATCTCTATGCCCATGATTTTGATATAGAATGCCTTTTACTGGAGCTCCTTTGAGGTAACATGATATCTATTCCAGAGCCGACTAATGATGGACTGTAAGGGGCTTATAATGCTAACTAAATACACAATGTCAAGGCGAGTCATTGTGAGGCAGATTAATTTTTCCTCTAACTTTCTATATCGTTCAGGATCATTAAATGACTCTCCTTCCTTGGTAAGTTGTTGATTAGGAAATATCGGAGTTCTATATGGTTTGATCCCCGCTGTTCTAATTTTTACTAACAAATCCAAAAACATACTGCTGTGGAGATGATATGATACTTTTCTTGCTCTTTGATACCTCAATCTCCAAGAAGTATTTCAAGTAAGTATTTTGAAGAAATGATATCAATGATAAGATTCCATACATTGCTTGCGGTAATAATAATGCCATCAACATACATCGCCAACAAAATGATCCCTGAGCAGATTGTTTGTAGAATATTGTGCGGTCACTTTTACTCTTTTGCATCCCAAACTCTTGTTATGCTTGGCTAAATCTTCTAAACGATGCATGAGGGCTTTGCTTCAATCCTTATAGTGACTTCCAAAGATGCATTCTTTCCTAGACTCTATCAGAGTAACAAACCAGGAGGTTGCTTCATACATATCTCTTCTAAAAGATCTCCATGCAAAAAGACATTCATCACATTAAGCTGGTGTGACGGCCAATTATTTATTGCATCCAAGGTCAACCAAGTTAGCTAGCAAAGAGAATGTGTCAAGTAGTCAATCCCATAAATTTGAGCATAGCCCTTAGCAACTAACCTTACTTTGAGATTATTTACAGATCCATCAAAATGAAACTTTATTGCAGACTCATTTATAATCAACAACTTTTTTTTTGGGTAAATCAACTAGTTCCCACTGTCCATTCTTAGTTAATGCATCCATTTCATCAAGCATTGTTGCCCGTCGCCCATAGTGGGATACACTTGCTGAGTAGATCGGGACCTCAACAAGGTCAAGGGAAGAGATAAGCAAGTAAGAAGTAGAAGATAATTGATCATAGTTATACAAGAGGAAATGGGATAGACAAATTGATGTTTACCTTTTCGAAGTGCAATAGGTAAATCAAGGTCACTAGGAGAAAGAAGAGGATATCGTTGTCAAACTAGGATCAAGGGGACGAGGACTTCTGGAGTAAATATCAATGATAGGTGATCTTGGCCGAGTCATTGTTGTTGGAAGTAAATCTTAATTGATAATGATATACATTAACTCATCAGAATCGTATGAAAGTTTAGGTAGTGACGAGTCACTAAAGAATGAGGCTTGTTTATGAAAGGTGTCATCGGCAGATACCATGTACATGTTTAAGAGGGTAAAAACATTG